ACATGTATTCATACATTACTGTGGATTCATCCATTTGTCTGTAATTCGCGTTCAAAATCGATAAAAAAAAATTAGTAAACACATCATAGGCACGTGTTAAGCAAATGGCTAATTAAAATGTGGAAATGAAGATCTCGCGCTTCGCAATTGCATAATTTATGGTCCAGAGGTTATACGTGAACTGTATGCGTAACACTTTCATTGCGTCTTTAATTCGATCGACGCTGTTAACTGTTTCGCTTCGTTTCGTAGGCAACCCACACTGTGCGATTACCGTTTAACTGGTCATCAAACCGGACGCGACACTTACATGTCGACGAAAGTGCATTCATCGATGATTCAATTAGCGAACTGATTCAAATTGATAGACCGAATTTTATTCATTTTACGAAACGTTAAATCGAGAATTAAAATATTTACGCTCGGAAAGCGTCCGTTAAAATAAACATGACTTTAATCGATATTCCATTTCGCTTAATAATAGAAAGCCCATTTTCGGAGCCGTTTTTTAGCGTTGAATATTGGGGTAGTGAGAGTGTGAGAGAAAGAGTGATGGTGAAAATTTAAAACCACGTTTGTTTTGCGAGTTATGAGCGCAACGTTTCCGGATTTCCGGGTCCGAGACCGGAAGTCAAGGCGAGTTTAATTCCCCGTGCGTTTTAGGTAATTGCGATTCACGCTCGAACCGTTTTTCGTTTCCAATTGACGGCGTTTCCGAAACTCTCGGTGATTTATCAACAAAACGCTGGCCGATACAATTCATGAGGTATTTCCTAGTAAATCCCGACAGTTTAATGTGAGACCATCGCTTCTTTATTACCGTGCAAAAACAGAATTCATTATGCAAGAGGAGGAGGTGTTGACGATGGTTTTATTTCATTTTCTTGTCTGCTGTGTAGCGTTAATGAACGCAAACAAGGATCATCGTGTCTTCAATTTCCTTCTCTTATTTCTCTGCGTTATAATGGAAATTATATTAACATAACTGGATGTTATAGCTTAAAGATGTACAAGCTAAATTGTTACGTGATGCATTTTACTATAAGCGTCAGATTAAATTTAGCATTTCGGTGTTAGTAAAGTGAATACTCGTTTATATCTATTAACTTTCAAGTTTTCTTACAAAATCATGAATTCCTCTAAATTTAACGCAAATTCGTAATGTGTATTCGAAAATATAGATTATCGAATTTTTCAATTCTAAAAATACAAACTATTAGTAAAATTTATAAAGTGAGAACACATTTCGTATAAACGTAATTTTCATTGTTTTTCTCTATTGGTTTTACAATTAATCAAAAGGTATCGTGGAATGAGAACACTTTTTTTTTCTTAAACTGAAAATCGGTCTAAAAATATAAATTGAGAACTTATTTTGTGCAAAATTAACATGAACTATAGCTTTTCGCTAAATTCGTAAAATGAGAATTGTTTAATTTATTTGAATTAAAAGTTTAGTTAATCAATTACATAATTATAGCTTTTTTTTAAATAAAATAACATTAAATTGAAATTAACCTAAAACTTTGAAGAAATTCAATTATTTTCCTGTAACTTTTAATAGTTTACCAATAGATGTCGTTTCAAATTTCGTTTCTGTTTTTGCGGCTTCTTAAACTGAAAATCAATTTAAAAATATAAATTGAGAACTTATTTTGTGCAAAATTAACATGAACTATAGCTTTTCACTAAATTCGTAAAATGAGAACTGTTTAATTTATTTGAATTGAAATTAGTTAATTACACAATTATTGCTTGTTTTTTTTTTTATAAAATAACATTAAATTGAAATTAACCGAAAACTTTGAAGAAATTAAATTATTTTCCTATAACTTTTAATAGTTTACCAATAGATGTCGTCTCTAGTTTTTGTTTTTGCGGCTTCGGTGTTGCGATTTACGAGGATCCGAGCTACGCGTTTCGGACATGCAGAGACCAATTAATGAAGTAATTTATTCTGCGCGCGCTAAATAAGACGGTAATGACTAATTACACGCATCTCTCGACTCTTCTCGTCCACCGTTTCACGTAACCAATTTTTTTTTCCAGTGAAACAAAAAAATTACTCAAAAAAAAATCTGCAAGAATAAAGAGAAACTCTCAAAAACGTAATTAATTTCCCTATAGTCCAATTACGCGAAAATGGAAAAGAACAACGCAACGCCAACGAAGAATAAACGTAACAGCAAAAAAAAAAACACGTTTACCAAGTTTAATTTGTTTCCTATTTTCTTTTTATTTCGGAAATTGCGCTTCGTCTCGATAACAATCTCATTATCTTCCTAATGGATTGGATTACTTTGCATGCAGTTTCATCAGAAATTACGTGAATATTGTAAAATGTGGAAGAATTTATTTGAACATGTTATATTTAGTTACTCTTAAACTATTATAGATGGATTGGATCCAAAAGATGCATATGAAAGCTAAAGAGTTGGGGAATGTAACATGTATTCGTACATTGCTGTGGATTCATTCATTTGTCTGTAATCCACGTTTAAAAATGAAATTTCGAAAAATTAATGCTCGAAAAAGTAGTGTCTGCACATATTAGTAATTTTCTATTATAACTATTATAGATGGATTGGATCCGAAAGATGCATATGAAAGCAAAATAGTTGGGGAATGTTACATGTATTCATACATTGCTGTGGATTCATCTGTTTGGTTGTAATTCACGTTTATAAATGAAATTTCGAAAAATTATCACTCTAAAAAGTAGTGTCTGCACATATTAGTAATTTTCTCTTAAACTATTATAGATAGATTGGATCCGAAAGATGCATATGAAAGCTAAAGAGTTGGGGAATGTAAAATGTATTCATACATTGCTGTGGATTCATCCATTTGTCTGTAATTCACGTTTAAAAATGAAATTTCGATAAATTAACGCTCGAAAAAGTAGTGTCTGCACATATTAGTGATTTTCTCTTAAACTATTATAAATGGATTGGATCCGAAAGATGCATATGAAAGCTAAAGAGTTGGGGAATGTAACATGTATTCGTACATTGCTGTGGATTCATTCATTTGTCTGTAATTCACGTGTTGGATTATTGGATAATTGGATTGGATAATTCATTGTCTGGATCCGAAAGATGCATATCAAAGCTAAAGAGTTGGGGAATGTAACATGTATTCATACATTGCTGTGGATTCATCCATTTGTCAATAATTCACTTTTAAAAATGAAATTTCGAAAAATTAACGCACGAAAAAGTAGTGTCTGTACATATTAGTAATTTTCTCTTAAACTATTATAGATGGATTGGATCCGAAAGATGCATATGAAAGCTAAAGAGTTAGGGAATGTAACATGTATTCATAAATTGATGTGGATTCATCCGTTTGTCTGTAATTCACATTTAAAAATGAAATTTCGAAAAATTTACGCTTGAAAAAGTAGTGTCTTCACATGCAGTTTCATAATAAATTACGTGAATATTGTAAAATGCGGAGAATTTACTTGAAAATTTTATATTTAGTTACCTACTTAAACAAAACTGACATTCATCAGATCTCGTTAATTTCAATTAATTGTTTCCATTTTACGTGATTTGCATTTGAAATTTATATATATATATAAAATAGAGTAAATGATTTGTCTTCGGAAGTGCTTTACAAATATTTGATAATTTGACACTTTCCAAATCGTTTAAAGTTTGTTTTTTTTACGTTGCTGTTGTTGTATGAAGTCCCTTTTTCGATTTCTCCTATTTACAATGGAACTTCAATGTTGGCACAAGCTTTTCCTCTTGAGGGCACGTGTTCCCTCCGTGTCGAATTAATTCCCATGTAACGGGAGGGTCGTTCCAGGCTGAGCACCTGGCTTCTCCCCTTCCTCATCTAAACCCTCACCCCACCGATTCACAAATGACCTAACTTCCGGCACAAATCACACAACAATGAACCGACCGGGATAAACCGTAAAGATCTAGAGGTCGAGTGAAAAAGAGAATAACGGAGCGTGGAAAAGCGCGGTAGCTTTCTTCTGGGAGGCCGCCGACCATCCTCCCCGATTTATTGCGACCACTTCGGGAGCGGAATTCCTTTGTGGTCAGGTACGAAAAAGTGGGCGTAAAAACACCTTAATCCGGTTCGCTCCTGTTCTATTTTTTTCTTCGTCCTCTCGTGCAAATTTAATCTTTGCGCTCGACACCTGTAATTTACACCTCTTTTGAAGGAAACAAAAATATAAACGTCTGCAGTTTATATCTAACAAACTACATTTTAATTTCAGTTCAAATTCTTTAGAATATCTTATTTTTTTTTTTACAAAAATTAGTTCATTTTTATATAATTTGAAAATGAATGAAAAGTTGTTGAAATTTTAGAGTACTTTTTTTTATTGAATTGTATTGGGTTGAAATGGGGAAGACTTTGGTTGTTGTTGGTGTGTATAATTTGTTTACAAGCCGCAGGTAACAAACGATGATTTATGGTTGATTTCCCTTTGTGTCGTGGCTTGGAGGCCTTTGAATGGGATGGGTTGTGCAGAGAATGTGTGTATGTGTGTTCAAGCGCGTGAAAGATAGATAGGTAAATGCATTTGGAACGTTTCAGCGGTAAATAAATTATCGGCGTGCCATGTAACGGGCGCGCCTGACAACAAATTGATAATTTAAAATGATTAAATGGAGGCGGCGGAGGCGGCAATATCGAAGTGCGACGCGATTGAGACGCACTCATTAAATTTTCACGCCCTTCGGAGCACACGATACGATGCAAAATCATAAATTAGTTCGCGTTCAACAATGAAGATGGCGTATTTGAACTGTCACTTTTTGTTTGTTTGTTTTTCCATTTTGTAATTGTTTGTTTCTTCTTGTCGCAGGTTGTCTGATGTTGCGGTGAGGTGCGCGAAGGAAGAAGAAAGAAATGAGCGTAGTGAACGCTCTTCAGCTGCTGGCGGCGGCGTTGATCCTTGCGGGTCACGTCCGTGCCGCCACCGAGTCCGTGTCGGTGATCCCGCACGACGCCCATCCCGGTTACAGCATAAAGAAATTCGACTCGGACCATGCCCTGAACTACAAGCTGATGGAGACTGGTTTCTCGCAGTTCTTCACCATGCTTCAGGACGGCTCCATAATGACCATCTCCGATTTGAGTCCTCTGGTGAATCGACCCATAGATCTGATGGTGCTCGCCGAAGACGCGAATCACACCACCACGACTCACATGCTCGAGCTGTACGTGCTGGACAGGAGGAACATGCTCAGCTTCAAGACGGACAGTCTGGAGATCACCGGGAAAATAGAGGAGAACGCTCCCAGGAGGACGAAAGTCTCCGGAGTGCCGATGCTTCAAGCGGCTGCCGGTTTGAATATGCTTCCAATCACTTATAGTATTATCGGTGGGAACACGAATCAAGCGTTCGAGCTGCAGCACAGCGAATCGCAGGAGGTGATGCCCAATATCACGGTGAAACAGAACAATGCTGGTGTTTACGTGGTCACCTCACAACCTCTGGATAGAGAAGACGTGGATAGGTACGTCCTCACCATTCAAGCAACCGATTCTTCGGGCATCAACAAAGCTGTGACCAACGTGGTGATTGTCGTCGAAGATGTTAACGATAATAGCCCGGTCTTTTCGCAAAAAGTGTACAGGTTCGTGGTTGGAGACGACTCGCTAGATGGCGACAACGTGACGGTCAGCTGGAAACGCTTCTCCTTGATCGGAAAGGTCGAAGCGACCGACGCCGACGGCGATAAAGTCGCCTACCGCCTTGTAACACCCTCAAACTTCTTAGTCATTGTCCCCCAGACCGGAGATCTCCTTCTAACCGAAGAACCCATCGAAGAAGTCGACCTAGAGTTGGTCGTGGAAGCCCACGATTTAAGAGATCCCAGTCGCATTTCTCCACGTCCCGCCCAAGTCCTCTTCCATTTCAAACCCATCCCGAGCAAAGGTGATTTGGACCTGGCTCTTCAGCAGCTCGAATCCGCCGAGTTGCACAGGATGAAACGCAGAGTTACCAGAGCGGTGCGACCCACGAAACGGATAGAATTCACGGAATCCGATGGAGAGACGGAGGGTCGCAACGTTTTCCAGCTGGAGAAGGAAACCGATAGGGAAACGTTCAAGATTCGCGACGAGAACGCCTGGGTCACCGTCGAACCCAACGGAGCGGTGCGCGTCAAGAAGAAGTGGGACTACGAGGAGCTGGGACCCGAGAAGACCATCGATTTTTGGGTCACGATCACGAACGCCGAGAAAGGAGGTGAGTGCACGCATATATCCATTAACATTACACGAATCTGACCCGAAATAATCCGTTTCGATTTATCGGAGAGACCGCAATTACTACCACCCAACTAATTGCCAACCCACCCTCTAATGCTCATAACTTCAATTAAGTCTCACACCCATTATGACTGTATACCTAAAATGGCGTCCATCAATATCAGCTGATCTCCATAACCAATAAATGTTGCAACCATATTTATGAAGTCTACCTAAAATGGCGTCCATCAATATCAGCTGATCTCCATAACCAATAAATGTTGCAATGAGTCTAGCTAAAATGGCGTACAAAAATATCAGCTGATCATATAACCAATAAACTTTATTTAGCTTTGACATAACTGTCAAAGTCATTGCAAACACAAACATCTCTTTTATCTACCGCAGACAATGGGAATTTAATAAAAAAAAAATCAATTTCAAAGTTGAATTGTTATCCTTATACATTCCCCCTAGGTTTCGAATTTAATTTACGGTTTACCGAAGCATCAGCCCGTTTCGGTGAACATCGATAAAACGTTTTTGCGAATCCAATTTTTTTCGATCTGCTGTCACAATCAGACCTCGTCCCCTCCAAGGCATTCAACTTCGACAACTTAAAACGTCGTCAATCGCAGCAAACTAATTCAATATTGATCACATAACTATTAAAATCACATAACTATTTGAAGTAGTTATTATTATTTAGTGATTCTGATATATGAATATGTGATGATTATCAATCATAGTCAACTCATTTCGCTGCAAAAAAAAAAAAAAAAACTAAAATCACATCCCTTTTATGATTTATGTGAGATTTCCGTGCGCGTACTGGTTTGAAAATTAGCATAAAAATCAATATGAAGTTTATGTTTCGCGCAGCAAAAACTAGATGGCGATAACAAAAGTAACAAAAAATATATATGACATTTCAATATGGTCCGAGACATTGTTACACATGCAGTGGCGTGCTTCTCATGATATTAATCTCGTAAACTATGATGCTCGGGTCCATGAATTAATGGCAATTTAACTCAGACGAACTTCGCCGGCGTTAATCAAAGTCGCATGAAGAGGAGGAGGGTGGTGGTTCGTTTGTGGTAGTAGGGGCGTTATTAAATGTGAGCGCAATTAAGATAATTCGTTGCCAGGTAAAAAAGAGCGGGGTTTTAGTTTCTTGTTTTTCTTGCAGTCTGCTGAGGGTTGGATCGCAGAAAGAAAGAAAGAAAAAGCGCAAAACACAACGGCAAAATAAATTGTTCCCTGCTCAGGGATAGGGAGAGACTGAGCAATTTACGTTCAAAACACACGCAAGATAATGGATTACTCTCTTTCACTCTCTGTATGTGTGTGTGTCTGCTTTTTTTTGTTTGTTTGTTTGTTCTCTTCTGCTCTCTCCCGCTAAGCCTGACTACATTAATTATTTATTATCTTTAATTATGCCCCGTAAATAAAGGACACGAGAAGAAACGTAGGATTAAAACGAACGCAGCGCCATCTATCACTCAGAACAGGTGGATTAAAACGTGTATCAAATTAGATGATCCTAGTGAAATAATTTAGTAGCCGTAAAAGTTTGTAATAAATATATTTCTTTTTGATGGCCAAAGTTGGTATTAAAATGATAGTTTTAATGTAGTTTGACAGGTGTCCGAAATGTCATTTATTGCAGCGCTATCACTTTGAACAAGCGAATGGAAGTTGCTACGTAACGTAAAATAATCAATTGAGGCAATGTAAGAATGTATTTTATTTTTGATGCGATACAGTTGGTACAGTTTGACAGGTGACAGATATGTCAAAGTATTGCCAATTGCTTGTGAAAAATACAGATGTCGTTTTTCTTTTACTTTTTGAGAAATGTATAAAAGCAAAGCTTAGCTGCTTTGGTTTTGTGCGATTTTTCATTATTATGAGGCAAGTTTAGTATAAATGTAGTTTGACAGGTGACCGAAATGTCATTTACTGCAGCGCTATCTTTTTGAACAAGCGAATGAAAGTTGCTAAGTAACACAAATTAATCAATTGAGGTAATGCAAGAATGTATTTTATTTTTGATGCGATACGGTTGGTGCAGTTTGACAGGTGACAGATATGTCAAAATATTACCAATTGCTTGTGAAAAATACAGATGTCGTTTTTCTTTTACTTTTTGAGAAATGTATAAAAGCAAAGCTTAGCTGCTTTGGTTTCGTGCGATTTTTCATTATTATGAGGCAAGTTTAGTATAAATGTAGTTTGACAGGTGACCGAAATGTCATTTATTGCAGCGCTATCTCTTTGAACAAGCGAATGAAAGTTGCTAAGTAACACAAATTAATCAATTGAGGTAATGCAAGAATGTATTTTATTTTTGATGCGATACGGTTGGTACAGTTTGACAGGTGACAGATATGTCAAAGTATTGCCAATTGCTTGTGAAAAATGCAGATATCGTTTTTTCTTTACTTTTTGAGCTGCTGTGGTGGTGGTCGTCATGTATTCTTGTTGTTTGCTTTGGTTTCGTGCGATTTTTCATTACTATGGGGCAAGTTTAGTATAAATGTAGTTTGACAGGTGACAGAAATGTCATTTATTGCAGCGCTATCACTTTGAACAAGCGAATGGAAGTTGCTAAGTAACGCAAATTAATCAATTGAGGTAATGCAAGAAAATATTTTATTTTTGATGCGATACAGTTGGTACAGTTTGACAGGTGACAGATATGTCAAAGTATTGCCAATTGCTTTTGAAAAATGCAGATGTCGTTTTTTCTTTACTTTTTGAGCTGCTGTTTGCTTCGGGTTCGTGCAATTTTTCATTACTATGGGACAAGTTTAGTATAAATGTAGTTTGACAGGTGACCGAAATGTCATTTATTGCAGCGCTATCACTTTGAACAAGCGAATGGAAGTTGCTAAGTAACGCAAATTAATCAATTGAGGGAATGCAAGAAATTATTTTATTTTTGATGCGATACAGTTGGTACAGTTTGACAGGTGACAGATATGTCAAAGTATTACCAATTGCTTTTGAAAAATGCAGATATCGTTTTTTCTTTACTTTTTGAGCTGCTGTGGTGGTGGTCGTGATGTATTCTTGTTGTTTGCTTTGGTTTCGTGCGATTTTTCATTATTATGGGGCAAGTTTTGCATGAGAAATGGCGGAAATAGGGAAGATATGGTCGAAGTTGTGTCTGTGCGGACTTAAAGAGAACAACGCGACCGACGGGGGGAGAACGTTATAAATTTGATAATGATTTTACGAGCGTCGTTCCGGGGAATGTGTATGTATATGCATACAGCATGTAATGAAACCTCGTGTCGCCTCCATAAATCACGTCTAAAATACAGTCGTACATTTTTCGTTCGCTGATCCTTTTATTTTCGTTACGTTTTCGGGGGATCCCCGATCCTGATAAGAACCGGATTTGCTCCTTTTTATTTTCTTACCACAGATTGATGGCGGCGCACGGTGTGTTGCGTGCCCGGTATTTTTCATAGAATACCGCAATTTGCAATTTTCGTTCGTTCCCGCACACCGAACACCATCGATCATCATCATCATCATCATCTTTCGCCGCATCCGCCCACCCATCATAATACACTAGGCAATTTCGAAATATTTTTTTAATTCTTCTGAAAATTTCCATCCCGTCATCGCCAACCAAATCCGGTATATTTGCCGTTTCCATGGCAACTGCAATCGCCGTGCGATAATTAACTGTTTGACAGCTGTCATATTTAAAGCTCGGCGATAATCGGGTCGCATTAAACCATCGGATCTGCCACTAATTATAAAATTGGCAGTTGATCTATAATCACCTCTGCTTCCAGTGTTAGTTTAAACTGCAAATGACAATTTATATTGCATCAACCGAATCACTATATACTTAAGTATACTTTACTCTCGTTTGAATCCGATCGTTAAAGAGATTATGATGATAATGGTCTCACCGTCTCATCATCATCATCATTTATTCGGATTGTTTTGTGTGATTGTCATTAATTTCGTAATGAAACAAACTGTAAATGTTGTCTGGATGTACGGACTTGGGAGGATCCCAAGTGCAATGAATAACTTAGGGCCCTGGGCATAATTGAAATCGAGCTCAGACAGCAAATCGATGCGGCCGGCAGCAATTCGCGACGCCCAATTATTTATGGAAATTAAATTCTAATTGGGAAATTTGCGCCAACAAAAGGCCCGGAACGCGTCGCGACCCTAAACACAGGGGATGAATCCGTGACCCCGATCAAAGATGACGTGACACCTGTCAAATATGAAATGGTTTAGTTCAACACTTTTGCTATATGAAAATGTATCATTATTATAGCATAATATTCCCAACCACATTTCCGTGTATCAAATCACACTTAGTGTGGATGAAACTTTATATTATCTTCAATTTATGGTTGTTTCTAAACTGCTACTGACAGCTGTCATCTATCAGTAATGACATTTGAATTTTACAATTTTGACGTTCACGTTTATGAAATATTTATTATTATTATGATTTGAGGTATAAAATCACTTTTCCATGTATCAAATCACATATAGTGTGTATGAAACTTTGCATTATCTTCAATGTATTCATTGATGCTATTTTATGAATGACAGCTGTCATCTGTCAATAACGACATTTGAATTTTACTATTTTGACGTTCACGTTTATAAAATGTTTATTATTATGTTTTGAGGTATAAAATCACGTTTCCATGTATCAAATCGTGTATAGTGTGTATGAATCTTTGCATTATCTTCAATGTATTCA